TTAGGGAGATTTGGAAGCTCTGTGAGTGAGTCTCCCGAAACTGCCTCGGTGTCTCCAGGTGGTGCCCTAGCCAGCCGCCCCGTTCCAGCCCAGCAGAAACAGACAGCGCTGAACTTTGGCAGGAAAATCTTATCTTGTCTCCTCTGACAATTGATTTGTTTACTGATCATGCAGGGGCTCTCAACTGGGACGCACTACCCCTCTTTTCATTTTTGGTGTTGATCTGTGGGTTGGAGACTTGGATACTCAGAAGTAGCTCAGCTGGCTGAAAAAAAGTGTAGATTTCAGGTCCCCTTCCTTACCAGCTGTGGGCCACGTACATTCTTCCAGATCATCTTCCTCCTCCCTACAGTGGGAACAGCAGTAGCTGTCCCTGGGCAGTGAGGATGGGAGGAGCTCACGTGTGGAACACCCTAGCCAGGGTCAGGTGTGCTCATGGATTACTCCTTTCCTTCCCTGCCCCCGGGGCCCCGGCCCTCTCGTCCTCTCTTGGGGGCCTCCCAGGTAGGAGCTCGAAGTTCGGGTTAATTTGTAGGCTGTGATCTCCCCGTTCCCAGGCCACTTGGCTCCCTTGGGCCAGAAGCTCCAGAGCAATGAGTACGTGGCCCACAGCTGGTAAGGAAGGGGACCTGAAATCTACATTTTTTTTGCCCCTGTTGTGCTGGTCGCATGGAAGGTGGGTGTCAGGCCAGTGTTTGCCTGGTGATTATTTGAGTGGGTGTGGCCCTGACCTAGGTCTCTCCATGAGCCCCTGTCCTAACTCCCCTGCAGGACCCTCCTCCTTCAGGACCCTCCTCCTCCAGGACCCTCCTCTGCAGCACTTCTCTCGCCATAGGCATGTAACTGGACTGTATCATTGTCTACCTGTTCTCTCCTTTTCTAATCTGTGAGTTCTCTGAGCTCCTGGCTTGGATCTGGTCCTGCTCAGCATTTCTGAGCACTGGCCTGCCCTCAGAGGAGTCTGCTGGAACTGTGGGCTCAACATGGATCCAGGGGCAGCCAGCCTCCTCTCCCCGACCATGAGCCTGAGTCCTGGCCGGTGCTGATGCAGAGGGCCCAGTGGACCTGCTACCCTCCCCCTATAAATCCTCTTGATGAAGACAGAGGCACCCCCACCACACACCACTAGGGTCCACAGCAAGGTGGGACTGGGAGTTTGTCAGGCTGGGGGAGAGATGCCTCCCGCTACTGAAACACAGCAGGGGAAGGAGAGTTGGGAGCCTGCCTCGGCTTCTCCCTCACCTGAGCTGCTCCCTGATGTGGCAGTGGGTCCTGGGGAAGCACTAGCTCTTTATTGGGTTCTCTAAAGCCTCCCAAGGAGCCCATTGAGGCTCAGTGTCCTCTTCCCTTTGAGTTGGGGTTGCTTCAGAAGGGGGTCTGAAGACCCAATGCTGACCCACAGCCATCTGCCCATCACCCTGCTCTGAGGCTGGGCCGCTCAGTAGAGGAAGCTGTGTTCCAGCCATTGTCATCTCCAGCCTCTCAGGCAGCCACTCACTTCTAATTTTATCTGGAGGTGGTAGGGGAACACCAACGCTTTTGAGCCGCTGTGTGATTTCATTAGTCTGAGTGGCCACTGGCCAGGCCCTTATCGATCAGCCCTGTAGGGACAGTGGGAGTTTATATGGCAATAAACCCGTCAGGCTGGGTGGATGGCAGGTTTCTGAATGCCGGCTGCAGGGGAGCCAGCAGCTGACATCTGAGAACCGAGCTCAACATTAAGTGCCCACCAGTCGATCAGTAAGTGTTTCCGGAACTCCCGCCATGTAACCAGTGCTGGTGGTTAGGCAGGCGGTGGCTTGCTGTGACATTTGCTTAGTATGTCCTGAATCTATCACAGGAGCCATGGTTGACCAAGGGCCGGGAAGTCAGGGAGGTACTTCCTCCCTTCTGGGATGAGGTGCGGGTAAGACCGCTCAACAATGAAAGCAGGTCCTCCCTCGTGTTAGACGGTTTCATGAGCCATGAACCACGAGGCAGGGGTGGGAAACAGAGATTGCAGTGTGGAAAACTGGAAAGGTATTTTGAGGTTCCAGTTAAAGGAGAAGAGAGGAAGGGGGAGGTAATGGGAAAAGCCATGAACTCTTTCCCTGGTCTGGAGTTTCGAGGTCAGGCAGGAGCGAGGACGGGATAGTTAGTCCTGGGGTAGCTTTTTGGAGGAAAGAAAGAATGTCTTCAAACACAAAGCAAAGCTAATACTTAATACGTTGAGAGTCAATGGATTCAATGTAATTTGCAGTAAACAAGGATTTCACATTTATGAGTAGAAATGAGAGATTTGTCATTTATCTATCGGTATTACCTTTTACAGGAGGAAGAGTGTGGTGAATGGTGTGCTGCGCTCCTGCATCTCCAGGTTACTCATGTTGGAAGAGGCCTCAGTGCCCAGGCCCACCGCCCACCTGGGGAACCCTGACCTGCGGGTGTGGCCCGGAGGCCTTCATCCGCTTCCCTGGGGCTGGCTCACGGAGCTAATAACTGCTGAGGAACATCATGCTGGGGCTTGAGACCGATCCCAAATGATGCCCTGTACAAAGAGTAGCTGAGAAGTCACTGCCATGGTTTAGGGCACGAGGCTGAAGAGGCCTGTGTTGGAAGCGGCAGAGCCCTCTTGAGCAGTCCTTCATCCCGGGACTGCTGAATCAAGCAACGTTGAGGGGAGCCAAGCTCTGGGGAAATGTGTCGGACCTGACGCTCTGGGGCTTTACCCATGATGGGCTAGCCTGCCTTCCTGCAACAGATAACCTTGGGCTTGGGCCAACCTCTTTATGTGGAGGAAAGATCTGAGGGAAGGTTTGCTTTGTGCAGTGAGTGGAGACTGGTGTCAAGGGGCTGAGGTGAGGAGAGGTCACCAGCCTGGTTCTCTGCTTGTGCCAGGGCCTGGGTGTTCCCCGTGCATGGAGGAGTGCTCCTTTGCACACCTTTCAGAAGCTCTGTAGCAAGAGAACCAGCTCCTTCTTGGAGCCCCATAGCCAAAGTGCAAGCAATGTTCCTTTTAAAGGCTGACATCTTATTCTTTAAACTTAGCTCCCTATCCCGATCATAGCACCCATCTTTCTTCTGCCTTTTGCAACAAATAATTACTTTGCTCAAATTTGTAAGTTGAACCCTTACCTGTAGGGTCAAAGATGGGGGTCTCTCTTGGTGTATTTTCCCAGAGTTTCATCTCCTTGTTGGGGTTTCTCTCAAACAGATTTCTTGACTTGGGTGCTGTATTCTGCAGCATCTTGTCCTCCCCACTGACTGGAATAGAGAAGACCCCCATTGGTTGAGTTAAGTGAGGCTCTGCTGTAAGGAGGTGAGCATGCCCCAGGGAAGGTGGGAGAAAGTGGCTTAGGTGAAGGAGGGACAGTGAACCTGGGTAGTTGGGGTGGGAACAAGTGCCGGGGGCAGGGTGGACTCACTGGTGAGGTAGCAGTCCAGGCTGATGGAGATATTGTCAAAAGCCACGGTGGCTCTGGATCCTTGTCCCCACCATGCGACAATCTGCAGCCAGAACCTGTACATGTGTTAAGAGGAGTGTGTGTGAGGAACAGCCTGGATTGGCCACATCTTAGGACTCAGTGTCCAGCAAACGGGTGCCGAGACCCTGCTCATGATCAGGGTTCATCGGCCTTCCCTGTCTCAGAGCGGCTGTACGAGGCAGCAGTCAACATCTCCCCCTACTTCTCCAGCACAACGCACTGCCCTCTCCGAGGGACTGTTCCACATGTTAATCCAATTTGGAGTTTGGGGCTCAGGTCTAGAAGTCCTGGAGCCTCTGGGTGTGCAGGGTGGGTGGACATGGGTAGGCCTGATGTTCCCAGCGGAGTTGAAGTCATTGTGAAAATATTGAAATGCTTCTGTACCAACTGAGAAAGAGCCACTGTTCCCTGACAGTCCCCTACCTGTTGCTGCAGGCCGCCTGGCTCCTTCCCTGGTGCCCCCTGGATTTCACACAGCGGGGGTCTCAAGGATTTGGTGTTCAGCATCAGTTCCAACTGGGTCTGTATAGTGCCCAACTGGTTGTTAAATATTAAATGATTTGATTCTGAGCCTTGGGAGTATTGGTAAACAACACAGAGTGGGCCATAAGTATTAACAATAAACACACTGAGATATCACTTTCCACCTCTCTCATAGCCTTGCAGGTCAAGGACTGTGGCCAGGGAAGGCTTGAGAGTAGGCTAAAAAGAACACACCTTCAGTTCATTTGTCTCCTGGGGAGCCGTCCTCCTGGAAGGCTGTCAGCCAGATCTTTCCTGCTGTGAAATGAGAGTTTCCTGAGAGCTTTAAAAACCTTCCCCCCTTTCAAAGTCAATCCAGAATGACCTGCAGGAGGCTGTGCAGTCTCTGGTGTGGGTGTTAAAATATCAAGAGAGGGAACCCATGCCCCAATGGGTGACTGAGTTAACCACATGTAGGATGGCCATTCCATGGAATGCCCCTCCCCAATACAAAAGGATAGACCAGATACAGGCTGTAAATTGGATGGAACTGAAAAACATTATGCTGAGTTAAAGAGATCAGACAATAAGTTAAAGACCTCATGATTCCATTCATAGAAATTACTCTATTTATATGAAACTAGAAGCCCAGTACACAAAATTTGTGCATGGGGGAGAGGGGTCCACTCAGCCTGGCCTGCGCCCGCTCGCAGTCCAGGACCCCTTGGGGGATGTCTGACTACTAGCTTAGGCCCTCCCACTCCCGCCACCACTGCTGTGCTCACCAGCTGTGAGCCCGGTTTCTGGCTGAGCAGCATTCCCCCTGTGGGAGTGCATTGACCACCATGGGGCAGCTCCTGCATTGAGCATCTGACCCCTGGTGGTCAGTGTGCATCAAAGTGACTGGTTGTTCTGGTCATTCCGCCATAAGGGTCACTTAGGCTTTTATTATATAGATGTCTAGAATAGGCAATTCTATAGACAGAAAGCAGATCAATGGTTGCTTATGGCTGGGAGTCAGGACAGTATTGACTGAAAACCAGCCCAGGGTTCTTTCTGGGGGTGATGAAACTATTCTAACATTGGATTGTGGTGCTCTCTGTACAACTGTACATTTGCTAAAAGTCATCAACATGCACACCTGTAGCTCAATAAAGCTGTCAGTACAAAAAAGAGAGAGAAGGAACCCAGACAATAGAGTGGGCAGCCAGGGGTAGCAAGAGCAGAAAACCAGCATGTTGGCGGGAATGGGAGACTGATGGGTTGGAGACAGTGGGACAGAGAGGGCAGAGGAAGCACAGGACACAGGCCTATTGGGGATTCTAAGAGAAATCCGACAGGAATACTGAATTCAAGTTGCTTACTGTCTAATGGAGAGATGAAGAGTATATACATACATCAGTGTAGATAGGTAGAGGGAAGTAAATGCCACATGAGGTGTGGATAAAATCCTCTGAGAGCTCAGAGGAAGGAGGAAGTCCAGCAGACTGGGGAGGTGGAGAGCATTTCTCAGGGCAGGTGGTATTTAAGTTGGTGTTGAAAAAAGAAAAGGACTCAAAGATGTGGGGATGGAGGGCAGTGAGGAGAGGACATTCCCAGTGGAGGAACTGAAGTGAGGGATGTGTCAAAGCAAGTCAGGGCCCCTCTGGCTCGGGTGTGAGAGGTATGGAAGGAGGTAGAGATGGTGAGAGACACAGCTGTATCACACACCTTCAGTGGCTTCTCCGAGTCTTGGCAAGATTACAGCTCTAGTTCCCCAGATCTCCATGGAGCACATGGTCCATAGTTGAGTTCCTGGCCTGAGCTTAGCTGTCTCAGGACACAGTAGGTAGAGCTGCCTGATGCGCCTACACAACTGTGGGTAAGGGGCCCACAGCCACCTTCCTGAGTCTCCCCTTTCTGATTAGGTCATTTCTTAATCTGACATACATAGGCCAAGGGCCACGCTGGGCACTGATTTCAATGCTAAGCTCCATCCTGGGTGTGCCATCCCTATGGGCCTGGGGTGCCTGAGCGAATAAATGATATATGTGTGCCCATCAAGCATGGGGGAAGGGGGACAAAAACTCCCGTTTTCCCCTAAATGGGCCCTTCTGGAGAAACTGAACATCTCCCCTCTTATCTGCTTTATTATTGAGAGATTAGAGCTGCAAAGTTCTCAACCAGCCACTGGAACTCTTAGCATGGACAACATGATGCAGGCTGGGGCCGGGATGGTTTCTAAATAGAAGAGTTTCTAAGTGCTTTGTAAGGCAACGGCGATGACAGCTGCTGTTTAAAAGAGTTTGATTGACACTTGGAATTGCACATATTTTGAGTCAGGAACACTCACAACTATCAGGGAAGACTCAATCAGATGTCGAATCAGCTGTAAACACGCGATGCTGCTTCTGTCTACCTAGGAAGCCAACCCTTCCCTACAGGCTCCAGATTCCAGAGGCTACAGGGAAGGGGCAGGTGGGGGAACGGGTGTGGGAAGGGCAGGGGTGAAGCAGAGGCAGTTGGGGAATGGGGTCTGGGGATGGTAGGTGATGGGGCAGAAAGGAGACAGCAGAACCATTTCTAGGAGTTTCTTTTCTGTGGGGGCCACAGATTCAGTCTACTCTACTTTGCATGGTAGCTGGTTGTGGGTCTTTACCTGAACCTCAGGTGAAGAAGAGAGTGTCCCTGGCTCTGCTCAGCCTCTCCCTGATGGAGGTGGGTGAGGCTTCCTCAAGGCTCTCACAGTCGTCCTGGCCAAACCACTCTTTTCTGTTGACCCCACTCCCACCCCAATGCAGATACCAGGCTACTCTCCAGAGTGGGCCATGGCCTCAGGCCTCAGTTCTGGCACGTGCCCCGGGGACTCCTCTGGGATGAAGAGGAAGTTCTAGCATGCACTGGGCGGAGTGCTCCGGTTCCGAGGGCAAGTTCTAGCAGGTTCCAGGTGAGCTGCTCTGGGTTTGAGGGAAAGCCAGGTCCAAACCTGTCAGGATCGCAGGGGCCAGGTGGTGTAATGAACATACAGGTTACCCTGCTGCCCTTTCCCTAAAGCTTTAGCTGTGTGTAGGGGAAGGGAGCCGAGCCCCCATGGCCAGAAAAGCCATGCCCTCCCTCTCCATGGGCAGCTGGGCAGGGAGAAGGGAAGAGGCAGCTCTTTAGGCTCCTTCAGCTCCCTCACTGATCTGTGCTTCTTAAGATGGTGGCAGCTGAGCACCCTCTTTCTAGCCCTCAGCATTGCAGATTTCACTCCCTGCCCTTCAATGGCTCACAACTGCTCAGCTCTTTTGGTTTCTCCAAAGAAGGCACTTTTAATTGAATGGGCTGTTGTTGCTTTTTCTCTTTTTTTCCAACTGTTTGGAGTTTGGAACTTGTTGCTAAAACAGATCTGGCTGGAGATCCTGGTTGGAGCCTGGCTTTTCATAAAGAATGTGGCCCTGGCTCCTGGCTGCTCAGCTTTACAAAGTGGCCTGTTGAAAGTTGGCCCCAGGGGATTCTAGAAGGTGGCCATCAGGACAGTGGGCGAGGCTAAGAGGGGTGGCCTTGGAATTGGGCATCTCCCAGATTCCAGGCGGATCTCTGTGTAGAAAGTGCTGATGCTGCTCATGCACAGCTTGAAAAACGCTCAATCTAGTTTAGATCACAGACCACTAATGGACAGTGAATGTAACGCCTTATTTGCCACCCTGCCAGCCTTAGGGGCTGACAAAGCTAATTAAGTTCACTTCATGATTTTAAGCAGCTGATGAAAAGGTGTGTCTGAATGTGGACTGAGGGAATAGGAATTATTTGGAGAGAGGACAAGACAGAATGGCTGGACTGGGTAAAAGGCGTTTGTCAGATGGGCCGCATGTCTCAGATTCCTCTGTCAACCACCAGTGGGCTCAGAAGGAGGGAGGGCCCAGCACCCCTCTCGCAGCTGAGGCTCGGCTGGGCTCTGGCTGTCTAGAGAGAGCTGGCACATTCTGCTGAGGAAAACCACCTTCTCCGATGGCTCACTGCACAGTTGATTTGCTCGGCAAAGTATTCTAAAATGGACCGTCACAAAGCTTGGGTCGCAATATGCATTTCTATTAGAACAATGGATGTGATGAAAAAGCCCTGCCGAGTTCACCCTATTGTCTGTGTAAATGACTTCAGTTACCATCAAAAAGGAGGGTCTGATGGCCAGCTTGGGGTTCCTGAGACCAGCACTGGCTGGGACCTAATGAACACATTGGGCTCATGAGAATCACCTTGTTCATGGCCAGGTGATCTTAATGGACACACAGTGGAGCCCTGACTCGAGGAGTCTTTGGCTCCTGCCCAGTGGTGGGGCAGCTGGACATTCAAGGATCTCCCCCATTCTCAGAAGTAATTAACCATCTCTTGACTTGATTTCCCCTCTGGGCTTAATGACACCAAGAGCAGTGAGAATGTGTCAAGTGCCCTGGGGAAAGAGGAGGAATGTACTTGGTGGGGGAGGGATGTTCTGAAGCTAGATGGTCTGGAAGGCCAGCCAAGAAGAGCAGGGACCTCAGGGGAGCATCGTCTGACTTGCCTGGAACCAGGAGACAGTAGCAGAGGCACGATGGGCATGCAGGGCTCTCATCCC